TTTTTCAAGTGTCTTTCATAAGAAGCTAAATATCTAAACTTGTCTGAATAGGTTTTTCTTTTTGTTTCTTTTTTTAATTGTAAATAAGACGGTAGTGCTGTATGGTATCATACATAGCAGACTTAACTTTAACAGATTTCTCAGAGTTTGTACCCTGGTTTTCCAAAAAGAACTCTTTTCACTCTCATATTCCTCCACTCTCTTTATTTATCACTCAACATATTCCTCCACTCTCTTTATTTATCACTCCATATTCCTCCACTCTCTTTATTTATCACTCAACATATTCCTCCACTATCTTTATTTATCACTCAACATATTCCTCCACTCTCTTTATTTATCACTCAACATATTCCTCCACTCTCTTTATTTATCGATCAACATATTCCTCCACTCTCTTTACTTTACTAACCACTTTAGTTTTCACTCCACACTCTTTACTTTACTCACCACTTTTATATGAAAAACCAACAACAATAATAAATCCCTTAGAAAACTTTCTTGAGATTCTTTGAACAATATTTTAAGAGTCTTTTCTCTCCTTTATTAATAATAAATGGATCTCTTTTTGTAGCAGTAATTTAAATACATCCAAAATGTGATAAAACTTTTCCAATTTTATTCGGCTAAATATTTCACATAAAGAATTATTTTTGCGTTTGGCAATATGTCGTGAAGAAAGACGATGGACATTATGTTTTCTCGCCTTTTTTTAGATTCAGATCAGCATTAATCATTTTGTTTACAGTTGACACAGCGATTTTAATGATTTTGTGCCTGACTTAAAACATTTTGTCTCTGCAACATTCGAAACATTCCTTTTTCTTCCTTTGATACGTATTTGGAACAATTTACCCACATGAAGTCAAACTTTGTCTGTTTCCCCCCTTTCTTGTTGACAGTATTACCTATCGTAGCTTTAGATATCGAAAAACATGGCTTTCAGTGCGTGTTTTAATAACTAGATATTAATCATTTTCTTCGGAAAGAAAATAAACATAACCTTCCACCATTTCTTCTTTAAAGCAACATTTAGCATGAATACAAATCTGTCAAGCAGAAGACGATAACTTAAATTAATTTTAATGACGATAATTTAAATTTAATTTTTAATATTTCAATAAAGCTACGGTTTGTTACAACGCAATTAAATGAATTAAACCTCACACATTTGGGTAAGGCAAGTTCTATTAAGAAATTAGCTTGTATTAAAAAGTGGTCATTTAAGATTATTTAAAATATAGCAGCATGAACGGTTCTTACTAACGCTACCATCTTGATAGATTTTAACATATGAACTAACGGATTCGCCTTTATCTAAATCTTCCAGCGTTTTCTGAATTTCCACTTTTGAAAGATGAAATTATAATATGAAGGTTATTTCTGTTTATACGAAACATATGTTTGTTTGTTTAGCATTCATTTCTGTTCTGTTTTTTAGATTTCATATGCTATTTAGCCTGGTTTCTTTATATTTTTTAGAGGCTTAGGAAATTTGGAAAAATTTCCTCGTATAAATTTACTGTAATTACTTTTCAGCTGAATAAATTTGGGCCTAGAGAAATTTTCCCGTGAACTCTTAACTTTCGTCAAGAGGAAGTCCAATAACAGATACAATGAAAGAAAGTGTTTACAAAGAAAGTGTTGTAAAATTCATATTTGAATATCGAATTTTATTAGTGAATTTTAATATGACATTAAATATGACCGAATTCTAGTTTTCTTCTTCCAAATCTTGCCTGTAAAATCTAAAACAAAGAGCGTTTTTACTGTCTGTATCTATTTTATTATGTTATATTTGGAAGGAAATTACATGTTCAGTCACTACCTCTTCTATAATAACGTTACATAAAAATGATTCAGTTGGTGATATCCAAGTTAATTTTATAGTGAATCCCTTTCAGGATTCACTATAAAAAATGTTGGAACACAAAGGCCTATATCAGCGAAATGTAGTAGCCCAAATTATAAATCTGCTGTTAATATAAAAATGAAATATGAGGGAACTTAAAAAAATGTTAAATCGTGAAGTTGTTAAAATGTTAAAAATAGTATAAAATGAACATAATAAAAATCATGAAAAGTCTTTTAAATTTAAAAACTCATTGTATAATATGAACTTTGCTGTTATAAAAATTAGAAGTGTTATAAAAATTTTATATAATTTATCGAACTTAAATTCACATATGGGGGAAGGGTATTTCATAAATATTCATATTCAGTGTTTTTCTGAAATGTATGCAAGTTAAAACTCATTTCTCATAAATATATGATACGAAAGTCCAATAAAGCATTAAACGCATTTTAATATCTGTCAGTATATTCTTTATTCTCGTTATTTATAAAAATCTATTAAAGACAGATTTTATATTGCGCAAAAGAAAATCTATTAAATTAATTTTGCGCAATATAAAATTGAGAATTAACAGGTTTCTCGTGATAAATAAGTTGGAAATGCGGAAACAATCTCTAAAGGCCTTATTCCGAATATTAAAGAAGTTTCTGGTCTCTTGCAAAAAAATCGTTCAGAACTAATAAAGAATGCAGGTATGTTTACTATACATAAGACATCTTTTTCAATATCCGAAATGAGTCCTGACGAGAGCCAAGTAACAGGACCAACAATCGTCAGCACAAGTAGAAAAATAGGTGTGCACCCCTCGCTGAACGATTTTATTTAAAATGTTACTAAAGTGTTAATAAAGACTTTCGAAGACTTATAAGACACTTGTAGAAAGCGTTCTGAAACATAAATTTGGAATAATGCGCATTAACATCAAAATTCACCAGTGATTCTTTCGAAGTTGTGTTTTCCACCGCTTGCTTCAAGAGAAGCAATTGGCTGCGTCTCTGTCGTGTTAGCATGTCGAATAAACACAGTCTGTCAGAAAGTACAACGCAGCGAACCACAAGAAAGGGTTCGAAACGCAATCGGAATCAGCAGATCGTAGCTTCCGCCATTGAATTGAGCCGAAGTATAATTACTGGCTTATGATGTCGGTTGCAAACGACGAGTTCGGAAGATGTTCTGGTCAAGGTCGAGGTATAAAAATACAACCAGTCTTCAAACGTTGCAAAGACACCGTCCGTCCGTTTAGTATCACCGTTATGGATACAAATCATCCGCAGACGAGGCCCACCAGCGGCCGAGCGGTAACGTCGCTGAACACTGGTAGTTCGGTCCGAGGTTCGAATCCCGCGAACGGGCTGGCTGCATGGGTTTCGTGGTTTTCCCCATGTGTAACGTGTATACGAGCCAGTTTCCCTTAAAAAGTTCTCCACGGAGGCATCCCTCCCTTAAGGCAGATAGCCCTCGAGTGCTTTGCCATAATCTAATAAACCAAATCAAGCCAAACCATCCGCAGACGCCTCCTCCACCCATGTATATTGTAAGCCAATGACTGCCGCCCAACCGATATAGTGGTTAGCGTTGCAGACTGCCGTGCCGAAGGGCCCGGGCTCGAATCCCTGACAAGTGAGCATGTTTGTAAATGTATAGTGTCCGAGCGGCATGGGGACACTCTAAACATACGGCGAGCCTAAATTCCTCTCGAGAGGTTGGTGGTACGGAAAAGGGGTGGAAGGCCCCCAGACCTGTCCCCCCCGGGGATGTTCTCCATCAAAATTGGGGTCGGAACTGAGCTTCACCTGTCTGGTGCTCAAGGCTGTTGCCAACGGAAGTCGTAAACTTGAGCTTCTTGTCACGAGGCATTTCATGGGTTAGGGCTGATTATATGTTTGACAAGTGAGCATTAGCAACAACAACAAGCCAATGAGTTGTGTTCCAATGGCTTCTTAACATTGTGCGACTCAAAGAAACCGGACTCAAGAACACTGTGATTGGAGACCTGCAGATTGAAGCCAAGTTTTTTTTTTCTCCGACGACAGCAGATTCAGCAGAGAACCGGAAAATCGAGGAGGGTACATATTTCCAACCATAGACCTGGCTAAGGGTAGCCAGGTTTTCCAAATTTTTCGGACTGTTACGATTTATTACCTACTAGCGTACTTTATTACTAACTGTCTTTGATAAGTGTTGCCTTTGTACGAACCATGCGTCTTGCTCGAAAGCAGTTCTCACAGTGTTGCCATTCATAAAAATATAAAGTTTTCAATTTATTTCTCAAATTTGATTAGTCTGTAATTGTTTAACAAAGTGATCGATTCTAAAATAATAAAAATATTTCTTAATAGTTTTAATTTTCACTTTGTTCTTTAATAAAATATAATTAATGCAAATTCAAACGCATTAGCATAACTGAATTAAGATCATATTTTGCAAAATTTCGGAGCATAGAAATTAAGGTGCTCCAGAAAAATATGATAAGAATATTTGACCAAAACGATATTATTCCCTCATTTAATGATGATTAATACCGAATATTAATATTAATATTTAGAACTCTTCATTCTTGTTTTAATAAATATACTTCTCCTAATAACTCTTAGCTCTAATGTCATTTTTGGTACTAGTCTTTTGGCTCGTATAACATGAAACGTTTTAGAAAAATAACCTGTTACCAGTCGTCTAACGGGGAGTTACTTATATTATGAAATTATTGTTAAATTCCTTTTTTAGTAATGCTTAATATAAATAGTAAAAATAAACATTTTATGTGAAGCGTTTTTGCATTTGGCTTTTTTCCTACTTTATATTAATTCAGATTGGAGAGTTTGAATTGAAGTTTTAAGATATTTGACATTTTTTAAGACGTCTTCCAAATGCAACAATAGAAGTAGCAGTATATTTCTACACTAGTGTTGCTTTTTTTACAATACTGCTCAAGCAATAAGGATGAAATTTTTCTTGCCAGCAACTATGACAACTTTTACCAGAGCGTTCTTTAATGTTAAAATGACTTGTTTTAGAGAAAAGTTATTAATTCTTGGAAATTGTAAGAAAGATTCTTGCAATGTAAGAAAAATTTTAATAAAATGCTTAATATAGAATTAAAGTTAGAATCATATTTTAATACTCTCTTATCTAAATGTTTTTATAGGAATTTCAAGTTATTCGAGTTTATCAAACCATCCAGGGCAGGATCTACCTGGTTTCTCCGACTTAGAAAATATTCCTCCATTACGGCCTTGGCACCCTCCACCACCACCATCATCAATAATCCAAAGAATACTAGAATTAGATAAATAAAGGGAATCCAATAGCTACTGTGGTCTGAAGAAATGACTGGGACTCGGAAATAGAATGTATATAATGTTATTTATGAGTACAAAATAAATTTATGTTTTGTTTAGATAGCTAATTAAGGTGATTGCTTATTAATCTCTCTTGAAGCTCCATCCGATTTATCAGGTTAAATGCAGTCTTTCCAAAAAAATGCATCTTTGGTTTCAGTGATTCGATAATTAGAACCCCTTCTCGTTACTTTTCGGCGTCGAGATGACATCCGACCTAAGGCTGAGGTGACTAACTGATTAAAGTCATCCTGACGAGAAAAAAAAAAAAATTTTAATGTGGCCACCACATGACTTCTTTGTATAACCTATTAAATTATACACAATTTTTGCTGCATTTCATTCAAACGTATTTCCTCGAATTTCATTAGAGATATATTTCTCATTCAATCAATTCAACTCTCACTTCGCGGCAAGGCAAAAGTACATAAAAACTCCAAAGACCTTCATTAAAAATTGTAAAATTCAGATAACCGTAAAACACCAAATACAGTTAAAAACGGCTAATTTTTTTTCTTACGATTAAAATTAAAGTTTCTACGCAAAAACAAGCAATTCATGGCGCAAAGGAAACGAGATGAGCGTCCAGAAGCGGGTATTGATTTCAAGCGTTAAGACAAGGCGAAAGGCATTTTCGGAGAACTTATAGCATTTTCTTTGCAAAACTGAAAGTTTACTTTTGGTCCCCCGTCGACTTGGTTGAAAAGACATTGAAGTTGGTGCAGAAACTGACTTAATTCACTATTCTACTAAGATTTTCAAATATAAATAAATGGCTGCTTCATTAGGCTTAATTTTTGTTGCTGATAACTCTACAATTATTACATTCATATTAACTAAAAGTATCAAAACCTTAATCGGAACTTAAGAACAATATATTTCAATCATTTTAAAAGCAAAAAATGCACAATTTACTAGCAAATAAGAATAAAAAAATGAGCTCACCGAGTCGGGTAACAGAGTAGGTGTATATATGTACTTTTGATGAGGCCGATTGCAACCAAAAAGGGAGGTGCACAACTACATTTCATAGCAGTCTCATATACAAAATTTCAACGTTATGAGGTTACTCGTTTTATTATAGGAGATACATACATACCTACTTACATACATACAGACGTCATGAAAAAAATCTTTTCTGAATCTATTTTACAATTCGTTTTGGGAAAAGGGGGCCTTTATTCTGCCAGTACGTACAGATGACACGCAAAGGCATCGTTCAAATGGATTCGAGAACGGTCAAAATGGATATTTTCATTGAAACATGATAACCGAAATTTTCCGTGATTACAATACTTCCTTTACTCGTACAAGGAAATTAAAACGATAGGCAGACACGCATTTAGTAAAACAAGCATTACAAGTAACAGTGCGTAACCTGTAATGTAACCGTAACAGTGCGTAACCTGTAATGCATTCAAGCATTACAGGTTACGCACTGTTACGTTAGATAAAGTATTACACGGAGTACAAGTTCGTGCTTCATTTGTGACTCTTACATTAACAGTGACTTTTATGCTGCTGTGTGCGTTCGGCGTATTTCCATATTTAGCATTTGGGATAAGAAACAATATGATAAGATAATAACAAAATATGATAAGATAATAATAAAATATGATAAGATAATAATAATAAAATAATAATAAAGAAATAAAAATAAGAATACAGCGAAAACATAACCAAAAAAAAGCACGAAAAGAATAAATTATATGTAATAGGATTAATACTATTCTTGCGCATGCAATATATTGTACAAGAACATAAACAGTACTTGTACTTTAATACAGATGAATTAAAAAGTCTAACTGATACAATAGCATTGTTTCAAGCAAATAACTAAAACATATTATTATACTGATAAATGAGATGCTTAACTAACAAAGCTGCTTGCTGTCAATGATAAAAACAACTGACTTAACTAAGTTAACTCTAATAAGTGGCAAGTTATGGCCTCTGTCAATGATTAACACAGTAGGCTTATGATCTGTCAATGATTAACACAGTGTTATGATAAAGTTAACTGCGATGACTGATGGAATCGGAGTTAATTTTATCATTTTGATATTGTTATCAAATTTATTGTTATAGTCCCGTTCGTTTGTATGCTAAAACATGTAAAATACATCTCTTATTGTATATCTTATCTATTTATTATTGTAATCAACAATACTTTTCATATCATCAAAATATTACGGAATGAATATTTACGATTGAAATAATGCCATCAAATAAAAGATAAAATATTTGAATACGATCGAAATACAGTGTAAAAATTCTCAAGGAATCGTCAGCTCTACGAATCTTGATTTTGAACATTTATGTCTTGGAACTGCTTCTCGGAAAAGATAATAAAGAACTGTTTTTTAAACATGCCATTCCTTTAATAAATGATAAAATAAAGAAAGTTGAATAACTAAAAACGTCTGTAACTAAAGTAAATTTTGAGTAATTTAACACTTCGGTGGACATTAATGAAAAGCCTGAAGTAAAGCTCAGTAAATAAACCTCATCAATGATAGAAGATGGTGATATCTGCCTGTCGCTTTCTGAACCAAATTTCCAGAAACACCATAAATATGAAGAATTTATAAATGAACTTTTGAGTAACAATCCCAGATAATTAACTACTAATGTCTTTCTTCCTTAACTGAAATTATAAAATCTAGCCTTTTTAGGACACATGCACTAAACTAGATCCTACAAATGAACTCAGCGAATTCTCGCAAAGGCGTGAAGTAATTAGCAGCACTGAAGAAGTGTGAAAAATAACATCTATTAATTCAAACTAAGAACAAACAGAAGGCACGATATTCGTACTTTACAATAACATCGACAACTTGTGGTGGAACTTAAATGTTATAATATAAATTAATCCTAGACTAAATAGAATAGTGCTAGATTAGCACATTACGTTACGGCTAGCTCTGAATAAACTCAGATATTCACCTGTTTAAATACTCACTTCACTTAACTTTAAATTTACATACTGGCGAGGATATGCGAGGGGAAATTGAGGAGTTCAGGAAAGATAACAAAAATTTGAATAATATGTTAATTTTAACTAAGGGAAACACTTCAAAATACTGTGAGTTTAAGTACTGATATATTTCTAAATATATTTATTATTAAATTAAAGTTAACAGATAGAGTGAAAGATGTTTTTCTCATCGCTTAATATTATTATTTGTATTTGTTATTCAATGTAATCAAAATAGTCATGGACAAATGTGATCACATTAAGCGGTATACTGAATGAATAAATAAAATTTAACTCAAAGTAAAATCTAACGGAACTTTATTAAACACTACTTTTCATTATGCAACTAAAAACCGTATAAATAAATAAGTTAATAATAACTATTGGGATATATCCTCGACTATCACTATTGGGATTGGCTGCTAAGTGACGGTGACTATGTGATTACAATTTCAGAAAAATATATTCGGAGATGCAACACAGCTGCTTCGGAAGACAGCAACCAATTAACACCTTTAACACATACCAAAATCCTTGACTTTCAACTCTATAAGCGGCCCTTTCGACTAGCAGCAGTGCCGATTCAAATTGCATCTTATTTTTAAACTACACTACTCGCAGTATAATTTGTGTAGCTCTGTGTCTAAATAATGTAACGATATATACAAATTAGCGAAATTAACTGAGTAGTAATCGCCAAATTTTCAGATCGTGCCAAATTCCGGCAGCTATGTTCATAACGAATCTTCATTTATGAGATATCGCCATTTTCATTTGTATTCTGTGTTTCAACTATAGACAAATCTTGATATTTTTATATTAACTTAACTAATCGCTATGCGTCTAGCCTTCGTCTGGCTTTTAAATGTACCGCAAAAATGCCGAAAGTGAACACCAAACATTAAATTCAAAAACTGCACAGAATTTTACTCTTCAGAACAACTTTATCAAAAAAAAAAACCATAAATTTCAATAAAATGTATTGCATATAAAACAATTTACAATGAACTAAACAATATCCTTTAACACAAATATTAATTATCCTAATAAATAAATTAACCAACTTCCCGCTGCCTTCTCGCGACAAACGTCCAGTATCCAAAAGAAACATTTCATTTAAAAACTGCGCAGAATTATCTCTCTCATTTTTCCGAGTGGCAACAGTGCTCATATCAGCACGTGCCATTGTTGCTGATATAATGAGAGAGAATTATCGATTTGAGGCGATTTCATCGAAAAACACATTAAAAAACTTAAATTTAAAAAAACTTAATTAAATCTATTATTAGAATAGGCCTTCTTTCTCATTTTAATTTGTTAGTCAACAGTACAATAGGAAATTAATTGACGGTACCACCTCATTGACGATTAAAGGTACTGTAGGTAATTATAGCGTTGCTCCTAAATTCATTGCCAATACCTTTCAAAACCTGTATGGAGCCGTTTTAAATAAATTTCCTAACTTGAAATCCAGCATACAAAATGATAAAATTGAAGACAATGATGTGCAGTATTTCTTCAAAACCAAAGGAAACCACGTATACTGTAAAGTATCACCATATACAGTATACACTATGGAACTCCATATGCACTACATATACCACATATACTCCATAGATACCACATATACTGTATATACTATACTCCAATATACAATATATTTCATATACAGTGAAACCTCGTTACAACAATATTTTAGGGACCAAATAAATATATTGTTGTAGAGAGGCATATTGTTATATCAAGGGCCCACATATTTTGAGCATTTAATAAGAGATTTTTTTATTATTATTATTAATTTAAGGTGCATAACATACTACTTTTAAGTCTATATTTAGAAGAAATTAATTTGCAAAATACTAATAATAGTGGTTTAAATACTAAAAAAATAAATAAATAAGATAAATTCAGAAAATAAGCACAGAAATATTCATATACCTGAAAACACTTTTTATTGAAAATAATCCAATATTTTTGTTTGTTTATTGATCCACAATGAGTCTTAATAGACGGAACAAATAACAAAAGAAAACGAAAAAAAAAAAGCATTTGAAAATCAAAATATTATTATAAAGGGAGAAAATAATACTGAAATTTAGATTGAAAAAATCGTTTTACAGAGGTTTATTGTTCTAGAGAATATAGCAATATTGAGGGGAGATTAACATTAGTTTATATGCAAAATCACCTGGACCACAAAACATTATTGTAGTAGAGGGAGTTATTGTTGTATCGGGTATCGTTGTAGCGAGAGTTTACTGTATACTGGAAACCACATATACTGTATACTTTGTCCAGAAAGGTTGATTGCTGCGAAAAAGGAATTCAATTATATGCTTCAAGAAGGTCTCTGCAGACCATCCGAAAGCAACTGGTCAAGTCCATTACAAAAGTCCGGTGAATTAAAAAAAACTTTAAGTTTAAAACTTAAACTTTAAAAAAGTCTGGTGAATGAAGTCATTAAGTGGACGGTGCTTACCGTGCACTTAATAACACCTTACCAGACCTTAATGCAAACACCTTACCAGACCATTGCCCACTACCATTTCTAATGGACTACAAATATCCTGCATGGAAGAACGATTTTTTTCAACCATAGATTTGATCAGGGCCTACCAACAGATCCCTGCTCACGAAGATGATATTTCCCAAGACCTCCACCATAATACCTTTCGGACTTTTGAATTTCCTTATATGACATTTGCTCTACGCAACGCTGCACAAACCTTCAAAAGATTTATGAACGTCCTGCTGAGCGGCCAAGACATTTTGTACTGCTGTATGGATGACATTCTCATTGCTTCTCCAGACAGAGAAACACACAAAAAATATCTTGAATTATGAATTAGACTTCAGATGGTTCAGTAATTACGGACTAAGCATAAACATTACAGAATGTAAAATTGATCTGAGCAAAGTTAAATTTTTAGGCTGTAAAATATCAGCGGAAGGAATTAAACTTCTTCCATCAAAAGCTGATATAACTAAACAATGTTATGAATCAGAATCCTTCATAAGCTTACGCAGATTTGGGGGAATGGTAAACTTTTACCATCGCTTCGTACCATGCAGACTGAATCAATCGTGTCTTTTTAATTTTTCGGTCGTATTTTGCTTTTTTATTTGTTATAGTTGAAGACGATATCAGGAAAGCTGCAGAAATATTGGTTGGTTAGCCTCCTGGATTCCAGGGGCTTTGATAACAGGATCAGTGCGGACATCTAAAATCTCCTGACACTGGTCGTGAAGTTATGGCTTTTGCAATGTCAAATCTCTATTTGACAGTCATTACTGAACACGTTATTGCTTCTGTAATGTTTGAGCATTACATCTCGGACCTTGTAACAACTCGAAGATTGTGACTTGTGAGGAGACTACGCACATGAATTTCACAACCAGATGGCCATATCAGGCTCTCCTTTTACCTTGGAGTGTGTTTAGCTTCCTGGTCGTTGTAAGTCAATTAACGATAAAGTTCACGAACTGTTTACTTTCAAACTGATATGCTTATCTAAAACCTATTATTATATTTATAATGATATTTTTAAAAAAATATTTTATAAATGATGTTAAGTAAAATGTTAACTCGCCTTCGTACTGATAAACTTTCCCATCTAAGTAATAATTATAAATAATTTTTAAACTGCTACATATAACCTTACATTTTAAAATGAAATTCAGATTAGGAAATATTCATGGAAACAATACTGAATATTTTAACTCACTTCTTATTCTGGTTCGTTAATATCCAGTTCATCTGTCTCACCATCTTCTAAGGCTTGGTAGCGGTTTCTTGCTTGTTCGATTGCTTGTTGTTGTATGAGTTTTTGTCTCTTTTCCTCCAATAAGCCATTTCTATTCTTATGAATGTAATCGTCAACGTTCGGTAGCCCTGGAATGACGCAAGCTGCTAAAGCAGATCGGTAGGTACTCATGTCCGTTGCTTCATACCACTCGCCAGCCTCCTCGTCGAAGCACTCGACATGGAAGATTGTCGTTACACCATTGAAACCGCCGATCACGAAAATCATGTCATCGATCACCTATAAATATCATACTGGATTTAATCATCTTGTTGTAAAATTATATATATTTTATTTCAATATTAATAGTGATGAGGTTAATGTTTTACTTGTTTTACTTTAACTGTCATCCATCCCATTCCGTAAAGATGTATGTAAGATGGAATAAAATTAGATTATCATGGTGTCCAAACTTGCATTTATTGCTTTGCAAAATAAAGACTAATAGCAAACCTTATGATTTAAATCTGAAGTACCTGAAGTACACCTCATCCAGTTTTGAAGCTCATCATTGGTCTCGAATGTTTGATCTCTAGCCAGTTCTTCAATTCAGGAAAGAGGTGAAAATCAAGCGCTCTAAGTCGGGGTTACATGCCCGGATAATTAAACATATCGCTCCAGAATATCTCTGACTAAACACCCAATGATTTTTACCTCTTCCGTTAACTGAAGAACTTGCTAAGAGGACAAATATTCCAGATCTAAGAAAAGCTTTAGGCCCATCTTACATCACTGTTAACGATGTTTTTAGAAGAGGGGGATCAGAAAGCTTCTCCACTGGTATAAAAATATCTGAATCTTATTGGCGAAAAGTAACCATATTTTTACACAACTTTTGATAATAAACTCATTTTGTTCTTTACTCTTGTCTTATGGTCCATCGGAGGTACAAAACAAAATAGCTGTCGTTAATTCTTTTTTAAAATTTCTATATAGGATTGGTTTTTCCATCCTCTCCATTGCGTCCTGCCAAAATCCGGGGCACCATTTGAGATCGTCACGGCCCTGCCCGCATGATACACTAAACAAAAGACCTTTTCGGCCGTGCTTTAAAGTATTTGCTCACCTTTACCTTAGAAAGTCTCATGCAAAAGCATTCTTTCCCAGACAGCTAGATATCAAACGTGGTTTCAAATAATTTGAATAGGAGGAGTAATATAACGATTTTATTTTCCAATAAATCTAATTTCCAAAATAAAAGATGATATAATTAAACTGCGTCATTAGAGATAACTTACTCAATTAAAGTACTCTACGTTCAAATCTAAAACTAATTGACGCTATAATTTTCAATACTGCAGGGCTGAGATGCAAATGTTGAAGTAAAATATGCTTACTAAATCTAAAATTAAACCATTTTTCGTGGCTATTTTATCAGATTCCTTAAATCATACTGATTATTCAAAAACATTGATAGAGAGATTGCTTTGTAGTATACAAGCAGCAGTGAATACAAATATTTGCATTATCATCCCAGTACTCATGTTATCAGTGCTCGTTTTAAAGAGCATTGATAATATGAGTATCAAAATTTAACATTTTTAATATAAAAAACATAAATAACGCTGCATACTTTTTACATTTCCTTAATAAACTTGGTTGAATTAAGAAAGAAATATTGCTATTGTTGTGGCTGATATAACTTGTATGACTTACTCATAAAAAAACCTATGAATTTTATACTGGCAAGGAGTGCAAGATTGCTTCTATCTTTGGCATGAGCCTTGAGCACCATATAAGTGACAATATGACTTCGCTCAGTTCCACCCCAGTTTTGAAGTACATCACCCCGGGGAAAGGTCTGAGAGCCTCCCACTCCACTTCCGCTCCCTCGAAACTATTTCAGAGGACTTTCGACTCGCCGTATATTATGAGTGCCCCCCCATATGCGCACACACTGTACATATACAAATAATGCCTTATTCAAGATTCGAAACAGTGTCTTTCGGTATGGCAGTCACTATTTCTAACCACTATGCTGTATGAGCAGCTAACGAGAAGTAAGAATGGTGACAACAAGTAGAACACTGTCCTCGTATCTGGTGTTCATTAATTTAGATAAGCGCATTGCTTATCTTCAGTGCTGCGGTATAATATAAATTTTAGATATGAAGCGTACTGGAACGAAATATGAAATTCAAAAATAAAACGGCGTTAATAAGTGGTTTCATATCAGTGGAACAAGCTGAATAAGTTTAATGTCATGTTGGAAAATGCTTACTTTTAAAAATTGTTGGGTTCTTTTATAATCTAGTAAAATAATAAATTGAACTTAAACATCGTTTGGCTTCTATTAAGTAAGTATTCTTTTTCACTTACTATTATTTCTAATTTAAACATTGTGACCATTTTTGCAAAATATTCATTTATTTAATATAGAGACTACAAAAGTAAATATTGAATATCTAATTTCCAAGGACCATACACCGTATTTTCTAGCGTATTTTTTCCTCTAGCTTTTTATGGCAAGGTTCTTGCAATTTTCTCCAAATTTTAAAATGAATTCGTCAACGCAGTGATTATTTTCATCTTACTAGCAACGACAAAACCTCAAAACTCCTGCACACGCCCAAACTTTTCTTTCTAAATGTTGACCTTTACGTCATCGTAATACAAGAACCGGCCAACCCCCGAAAAGCTGACTTGAACTGACATTCAGTCTACGATTCTCCATTACACTTTCACTTTCTCTAATTATTTATGGATGATTTGGCGCATAACGAGTAGCAAAGACAATAATAAAAAATAAGTGACCTTTGAGTTACAGGAAAATAGAAATGAAGCAGCTTACTAAATACTAAATATTAATATTACTATATATTCTCATTGGAATGTAAATTTCACTTAAGTAAATAATATTGTGGTATTTAACTGTAGTTTATCCATCACTACTAAATGTTATGACTACTATTATGTTCTTATTCCGTCGCCCATGTCCTTCAGAAATTAAATTATTCACATAATTCTCCTCTCTCGATTTTCGGACGATAAAATTAGTAAAAAAAGTGCGGACATACGCATGAAAATACATTATTTATTAGTGATGACGGGCTCTGTACTTTACCTTTTCGTAAAAAATGTAAATATATCAATCAATTGCTTTTACAAACCTCGACAGCAAAGTTGCTCCTCGGATTGAACATGTCCGGGATCGCTGTCCATTGATCGGTCTCTGGATCATACTTCTCGCCATTCACAAGCCTCGAAATGCCATTAAACCCGCCCAGTGCAAATATGGAGCCATGGTGAGAGATAACTGATACTCCTGACCTCCTGTTTCTCATGGACTGCACAAGAGTCCACTGATCTGTTCGAGGACAATAAAATTCACTAGAAGAAAGGCATTCGCTACCGTTGAAGCCACCAACCACATAAATATTACCATTCAAGGTGGAGGCGCTAGCATCGCTTCTCTGGATGTTCATGGGTGTTATGAAGCTCCACTGGAAAGAAAAACATTTTAATCTTTACACATTTTGAAAATGAGCAACAAAATTACAATTTAGGAGGTTTCTCACGTGCCTGTAACGTGTATGCTTAAGTATGTGCGATATTAAACAATCCTTTGTCTTTTATTTCATTTTTAGGGAGCTACACATAGGGAAATAATGCCCTTCTCCTTATCCTAGACGTGGCGAAAGCATTCAACCGAGTCGTCTGGTATAAAGGGCTGATCTATAAACTGATCAAGATGAACTTTAGTCGGGAAGTTAATCTTCTTCTCAAATCCTCCATTACTCACAGAACTTTAAGTGCCATTCAAGTAAATGTCTATTCAGCCTTGAAAAAAATCACTGCAGGAGTGCCCCAGGGTTCCTGACTTGAACCCATTTTCTACTTCAGTTACGTAATCGATTTTAACAGAGATGACCTGGATCAACACAACTACACGGTAGCTTGCTATGCCGACGATACGGCGGTAGCCGTGAGTTCTATCTAAACCAATGCCATGTCCAAATTCCAAGATTTTGTTTTAGATATTGAGAACTAATGCAGAAAATGAAGAATTAGTCCAAATGGCTCAAGGTCTAAGCTTCTATTGGTAAGGAGGCCCAAGATTTAGAATATAGTACAGTCAAAAGTCGTTAATCCGGACTCCTCGGGACTTCGGCGATTCCGGATTATCGATTTTTCCGGATTATAGATCATCAGTTTAAATCTCGTAAGATGGCATGCAGAAATTACAAAATTAAAAATATGAAACCGTAATTTATGAAATAAAGAACAATTATGATCTAAAGGGTATCAAAATTTACAAAAAGAAAAAGCTTAATATTTATTTGTTTACTTTATTAAACATTTCCTTCAATGTAAGTTGCTTCGTTTCATGTGATAATACTTTCTCTTTAATTCTATTAAACAGACATAATTTCTTGTTAGTTACAAAGTTCCCGCTGTTCAAGTCTATAATTGCTGTGTTGAGAATACCGACTAATTTTTCAATCGAAATGTTTCGTTTTCAATAACCTCTGGGTCACTTTCTTCTTCACTATCGGAAGCGAATTGTAATGACGAGGAACTTGATTTAAATCACATCAAAGACGGAGTACATCGAGATAAAATACTGCACTTAGTACGGAATTATAAACCAAATAAAATAAAAAATCTGCCCTGAAGATAAGGATAGTGCTGACAGATTAACTTCCAATCCGCCGCGTGAAATTGATAAACAGATTTCAGATTTCAAAACATACTTTCGCTTTGTAGATACAAATTACATATTAGTAAATATATATCGGAAATTCTATTTGACATAATCTTTCTAATCTATCATAATCTAATAATGACGTTTCTGCCCCCCCCCCTCTGCCGCAGAGCAGCGTGAAATTGATAAACAGATTTCGGATTTCAAAACATACTTTCGCTTTGTAGTAAATATATATCGGAAATTCTATTTGACATAATCCGAAATTCAAGCTTACTTTTATAAAATGCTCTAACAGTCTGCAAAAATAATAAGCCGGATCCAATTCGAAGATTAAGGAACAACGCAATCTGCAACATTAACTGAATTAGATAACTTTAGCTTAGCGTATAACTCCGTTACACATTAAACGCGCATGCGCACAAACATATTCGCAGCCGTAAGGGTCTTACGCGTTCTCGTAAACGCCTGTGCGCATGCGTGAACGCGACGCATGCGCAGAAAGTTTGTAGCTTTGAGGTCCGGATTATAGATCATTCCGGATTATGGGTGTCCAAATTAACGACTTTTGACTGCATTGAATTACTTCTGCTTAATCTGCGAAATTGTGAACCGTTCATATAATGTATGTTATCTAGGGATTATCATTAACCGAAGGCTAATGGACTTGCCATATTAAGCATGCCGTAGAAAAAGGCCTGTGGTATCGTCAACCAATTTTCTGAACTCCTTGAAAATTAATTTGGACTATCTTACAACAAAAAGAAGTATATACCTATGCATTATAAGGCCAATACTCTGCTACGCATCTTCAGTCTGGGCGTCAGCTTCAAAGGCAGACTTCCACAAATTTCAAGTAGTACAGAATAAGATTCTGAGAGGAATTGTAAATGCATATTACCTGGTTAGAAATAAACTGATCCACGATGACTTGAAAAGCTACTCTGTTACTGGACCACATTACTACACTTAATAAGCGTTTTGAAAAACTGATAAGTTATCAAACAAAACAGTTATCTGCTACTGCTAAGTTATCAAATCATTCCAGAAAATAATTTGATCAGACAATTTGCTACTTATATGTTTAGAAATCACAACTTCATAATCTAGCTTTGATTGCCGACGTTTATTTATTTTCTCGCGCGGCGTGAATGTTGTCTCTCCTAGCTTTCCATTAGATGGCGCACATACAGTAACAAAGACAATGGTCTCTCCACTTTTACCTCGCTTTCTTGACCATTCCTGAAGTTTTACTTGCTAGCTCATTGATGCCATGTGCCTTCAGTAGCTTAATTTTATTATCTAGCTTATTAACGCCCCTTCCGGGGCCACATAAATAATAATTTCGTAATCAGTATCAGTAAAAATGCCGTTCTTCCCTGTCGCCTACCTTGATATTCTTCTTATCCTATTACAGAATTAAATGTTATACTTTTCCCAGAACAGTTTTAATTTGAATGAAATATTTTCTCTAATTATATTAGAAAGTAATTTTAAGATAATTCGATTTTATTTGGTTAAATTTTACAAAAATTTAAATCAAAGTTTATTGCATTATTAATATTAAAAATCACGCATTATTTATTTTCTATTCACAGAGCTTCTTTCTGAAACAATTTCTCAAATTTGAGACAATTTTCAGCTTCTGAGGCATCTTTTAAGTCAAATGCTCTATTTGATTCATTTCAAATTAGAGCACGTTTTATTTTAATAGTGAAATACGTTAAATATTGCTGCTAATTTCTGATTTCCATGTACATAACTTTCTATGAGTATTTCTGAATGGAATAAAAAACAAAGGAGATTGGTTAATATTATTCAAAACTTGAAACTGAAATATTATTTAAATAATATTAAAATAGTAAAGAAATAGTTCTTTTAATGCTCATAAAATATTTTTACCCTTGATTTCAGCATTGCACATTCTAAAAATTCTACTTTACTACCTGTTTTATAAGTACTCATGAACTGTACTTTACTACACCTTCTAACGGATTGTTTTTCAGGACGAACAACTTTTACTTGAATAATTTTATAAATATATTGTTCTACGAAATTTCAATTTATGTTTACAATAAAATGTTTAAGTCATTAAATTATTATACAAAACTTATAATCATTATAAATTTATATACATATATATATTTTCACTAATTTCATATTTGGATAATTTTGATATTTGAAACTTAAAACAAAAGTAGCAGGTACGCTATTAAGGGCATCGAAAGAAGTATACAAATTTTCATGCTTGTACTACTCAATTATAAGAAACCTGAGCTTTAAAGTGTGTTATAGTTTTGCTATATTTTGACATTTTAAAAGTACATTAAAGTATTTATTATTCTTTACGCATAACATAAACACTTTGCTAAAATCTCTGTTTTTGTAGCCCAGTAGCTTAGAATTTTATAAAGCAAATTTACAAACAAAATCGCTGCTGATAACCAAGATGTGATTTGTACGCAAATGCCACTAAACTATACAAATTGCTTTACCTCTCCAGCAATGAATTATGTGGAACTGTTCTCACTTTTTTAATTCTTCGAAACTGTTGTGTGTGAAAGTACTATTAACCGCTGTCAACATGCTTTAAATGTAAAAAAAGCATGCACGTTTTTGCTACCAAAGCTCGGCAGCACTGCGTCAACTGTAGTGGGTGGAGGGCGTCTCCTTTTATTCTTACCTCCATGATACCTACATACATACATATGTACGTATAGATTCTTCGTAATTTAATAACAGAGATTAATACAGTTGCACATATGTAGCCTTCTGCTGGCAAGCAGAAGATCTTAGTGTTCTCTCACACTTTACCCTAATCCCTCTATTGACGGCTTTCTAAATAATCCCTCTTTTTGCAAATTGCAACAGCTTTAATAAAAAAAATTAACGTATAATTCTGAATTTTTTGTTAAGGATTTATTACATTCTAGGCATATTATTTTGAACAGCTGAGACTAATAAACTCACCTGTTTTGCGATTTCTGAATTAGCGTTGCATGAAACTTCATGTATTTCATAATATTTCACGTATAATTTTAAACATATTTATACATAGAATAATCTCATTAATATTAATCAAAGTACGATGTAATGTCATCTGAAAAAATGCAAAAATGCTTTCATTAAAAATTAATAAACAGTCGTATCATACCTGATTAGTGCGGTAATTATAGCGCTCTGCTGTGTTTTGTCGATGATGTCCGTCATATCCACCCATTGCATATATCAGATTATCTAGAGTTGCAACGCTTACGTAACACCTACAAATAAAGTCATGAACAAGAACTGATAGTTTTATGCTTGGGATTTTACATGCGTTTCCATATCAATATTTATTAATATCATTGTAAAACAATGCAGTAGCAGACGAACAGTATAAATAAGATTTTATATTAGATTACTCGTTTGAAAAAGAATAATTAACACAAGAAATGCTTCTGAATTTATGGTTTTTGAAATACGCTACCTAGTAAAATATACTGCTTTACAGTGGCTAGTAAGTGAAATACACTGGCTTCCAATAGCTCGATTACATTCCCAATTAAAATTAAAATGTAAGATAATGCAAGTATCGTTAAATTATAGCACAATTAGTTAAAAGATGGAATACAGAAAAATATTTCACTGTTGGAAAAGTCATCCAACTTCGCATTTTTATTTTAAATTGCAATCAAGCAGTATAGTACTTGCATAGTGGAATTACTGAGAAACATGAAAAAGGAGTGATAGAGTTTATGTATTATTGCAACTCCCTGAATTTTCAGAACGTGCCAAAGTCTGCAACCATGCGTATAACAACACTTCATACAACCATGCGCGTAACACTTTTTCAGTCAAGACGTATGGTTTATATTTATTTTAACTAACATTTATTTTAAGCTATCTTTCCTGTCAAGCCTTTACTTTCCCCTGGAATTGCCAATGCCAGAGTATGTAAATTTTAGTAGAACGCGCAAGTTTCAATTTTCAGCGGAAGTAATTTTGAGTTAAATAGAAGGGAAACGAGTTCGTATGTGTGCTTTCTGATTCACGAGCGTGAAGGTTGCTAGGTAGAAATTTTAAGAACCGCGCGTTTCGCGGCCTGTGTGCTTGCTTCATTCAGCAGTTGTTGAATCTTTCAACTTTATTCAGAAAGTTTGCTGAATCCCAGCTGTAATCTTAGAACGCGGTTAAGTTAGTTACGTTTAAGAGCCTCGTAGTTAGTCACTTGTTATTATTCATTTTTAGTTGTACTTTCTTATTTTTATTTAACCGCCGGGTCGGCGTAGTTTGTGAGCGTCAAGTGAACACATCTGTAACTTCTAAAGTGGAATAAAAAGGGAGTTAAACCCTTCTTAAGAGTTTGTGTACTTTCCAGTTCATAGCAGTCACTACTATTGTTGCGGGCAAGTTGGGGCCACGCAACACCACAAAGCAAAGTCGCCATTTTCGTTTGCTTTGTTTTTGTTGCATTCCAAGTTTCAGTAATTTTTGTAAGCATATCGTGATATAGTTTGCCTTCAGCTCAATTTTAAAATATCGTTTATGGAAATTGCCTCCAGTGGAAGAAACTGCAATAAAATTTCTACAGGGATACAATAGTTTCGCTGAATAAAAGTCACTAAAATCCACGAAGTCGTTAAAAAGTTTTTATTAGATTACGGCAAAGCACTCGAGGGCTATCTTCCTTAAGGGAGGGATGCCTTCGTGGAGGACTTTCTAAGGAAAACTGGCTCGTATAAACGTTACACATGGGGAAACCACGAAAACGCCCATGCAGCCAGCCCGTTTGCGAGATTCGAACCTGGGACCGAACTACCAGTGTTCAGCGACGTTACCGCTCGATAATCGTTAAAAGGAACAATGATGAGATTTCTTTAGTAGAAAAATTAATGTGCAATTCCAGGTTTTGGGTAGTTCTGCGATATTGTTAAGCGAAAACAGATCCCCCGTGTACACGGGGAGCAGAACGGTTTTTAAAAAAATTAAAAAGGATTTCACGAAATATGTGTTTTACTTATTTTAATGCATCACATAATCCTTATTTAATAATTCATATTTATATTTTAAATGGATCTTGAGTCTTCTAATAATTGTTACTCTAAATATCGGTAGTATAGGAATTTAAAAAGAAAAAATGTCGTTAAAATCTCCATTTGCAACCGATAAGTAACTTTTACATTTTTATCTGTAAAAACGAGCGAAATTGCTCCAAGGCAGTTGTGCTAATACGTAAGTAATTTATTCAACTTACCAAAGTAATTTATCCAATTAATTAAGTAATAATTTATTGTCAGTTTATTTTAAACTGCATTATCAGAAATATACACCGCAACCGTTGGTCGAAAACATTTATTTGAAATTGCAACAATGTTTTAAATGACTCAAATATTCTTGCTGTCATACATTTAAATATTAAACAAATTTTGTATAATTTATTTGAAATCCAATTTTTTACACGTTTCGCTGATTCTTATAATAACATTTATTAAAATTTTATACTCATTATAAATAGATAAACACTAAAAGACTGAGGTATGTAATTTCGAAACTTGTGATGCTTGACGTCCTGAATTTACATTGAGGGGTTGATTAATGTATAAATTAAAATAATTCGAAGGTTCATTTTCTTCCCGTAAATTCTATTCAATGATATTCTTTTGTAATTTACTAGTGTTTTTATTTATAATTTTGTTACGGCCGATATGCTGAAAGAATTTTAATCTTTATATGTAAAAATGAATGTTTGTTTGATCCGTATGGGTTCCTAAACCATTCATTCGATTGTGATGAAACTTTAGTGAATTGTTCGTACGCTTGCCAAGGATTTTGAATTAGTACAATCACTTTACAATAGCTGGCGTGAGAATTCTTAGGTAGTTTAACGGCAGTTCGTGTGTTTTCTGCTTATGAATGTACATGCTCGGCAGAACTGGATGAAATATAAACAGTGACATTTCACATTAGACAATAAATAATACGATATCAAACGCATTTTCTTTGCTTTTTTCCAAGTGACTTTGTAATCGGCATCACAAAGCATTACTTTCTCTGTCAAAATAATTATAATTTGATAAGTTGATAATTTGATATAATTTGACAAGTGATTGGTCGATCTACACCTCAAGCGCGAAAGAAAAATCCACTAAAAGCTTCAGGAACACTAGATCAACTGTGTTTCAACTAAAGCAAATGCGATTTACTAAAGTTTTCGATATTCGCTTAAAAATCATGGCTTCAAATGATTACAGAGAGAAAAATCCCGCGAATTCATTCAAATCTCAAGTGCATTCTTATTCCAAATTATGTCCTAAAATAATATTCTTAATAATAAAATATTATCTTAAAATAATATTCTTGTGCACATCTGCATTGAATACAACCCACTCTATTTGCAGCATTGTTTACTCCCTCAAGCATTTCACTCACACACAAATTCTTTTCCTTATCGCTGGTCAATTCAGTGTACCATTGTTCGAAAGCATGTGGAAAATCCTTGAATGAATGACCTTCAAAAAATAAGAGCGCTGCCCATTTAGCTTTCAAATTTCTCCATAAAGAAAAGATTGCGCATTATACGGCAAATATTCCTAAAAAAAATTTTAATGTATTTTGAAATTGTAGCTGCACGTTATATGCCGGGATATAGGATATTATCTTATTGCTCTTATCTCTACATGTAATAAAAGAAAGAGTCTGTGTGTCTTTTGTTCGTGCTGCGCGTAAGCTAATAGACCCAGGGCTACGAAATTTGGTATATAGGTGCATCTAGACAAAAGCCAGTGCACCTCGAAGAGATTTTTTCAAAATTCGAATCAGATTTTTTTTTTTATTTTATCTTTTCGATTTTATCGCATCATTTTTAATAGTTTCATTCTTTTAGAAATGTGGTTTTGGCAGCAGTTTTTCATTCAATTGTATACTGGACTGCTGACTGTTGAAAATCCGCACTGTTGCCACTTACAAAAATGAAGGTGATAATTCTGCGCAGTTTTCAAATTTAATGTTTCTCTTGGATACTGGACATTTGTTGAGAGAAGGCAACGGGAAGTTGGTTAACTTATTTATTAGGATAATTAATATTTATTTTAAGGGATATGCTATTTATCTAGTTTTTGTTATATGTAAATTTTTTTTTTTTAATTTGTGTATTTTTTTTTTTTTTTTTTTTTTTTTTTTTTTTTTTTATGAAGTTGTTTTGCAGAGTAAAATTCTGCGCAGTTTTAAATTTAACGTTTGGTTATTCCCTTCAGACATTTTTCGGTACATTTAAAAGCCCGACGAAAGCTGGCAGCGTAGTTGCTAGTTAATCATAATTGATTATAGCATTTGTTCCTTTATTTTATATTTGTACATAACAAAATTGTTTTTTTTGTATATAAAATTGTTCATATTTTATACTTAAAAATTTAAATTTTTTAATTAAATTGAATTTTTTTTTCTATAAACTTAAAAATATGGCAAAGAAACAACTACGTTTTTGTAAATTTTTTGAAGAATTTCTAATACCTCTATTAATTCCGGTACAACGTTTAAACAAGTACTGAATACAAGTATATATAGAATGTAGTTTCACAGTCGCTGCTCATCACGAAATCTTTAAAAATGAGAAACCTTTTTCTAAACGATATTTTATTTTTAGGTACGCGCAAATGCAAACCTTTCACTTTTCAGTTGTAGACGGCCCTTGAATATAATTCCTGATTTTTAATATGAGACACCTCGGCTATTTTTTGTCGTATTTAAGTTTTTATAACGTGTGCAAAATTTTCCTAAATATGAATATAGGAACCAGAGGAACCTGCGCATTTTGATTTCGTAATTTTTACAAAATTGATTTTTTTTTTAATTTAAAAATTCCAAAACATAAATCTTTGAGTTATTTAAAACGTTTTTGTAAGTGAAAGCATATATCTACTACCAATGATAAACATGATAAAAAAATTGTTTAATAGTCTTCTGTATAGAATTATTTCTGTTAGCCCATAAGATTGCCAAACAATAATTAAATTTCAAGGGATGTATTGCGTTAAAATGCTTTCATCTAATCAAGTGAAACTCTTAGAATAAACAGAATGTATAGAAAGTAATTATTGAATTATTCGGGGTTTTTAAAAAAGCTCTAAAATGAACCAAATTATCATTTATATAACCCTCAGATAATTTTGTTGAATTATTGCTTTCAAATCATTATCAAGAACATAACAAATCGGCGACCTTTTTGAGTACATGGGGGCAATATTCCTCCATTCTTTTGTGACAGCGTTGAAACAGCGACAACTATTGAAATACTCGTTACCATCAAAACCACCAATGACATATATATCAAAACCAATGACAGCCAATTTATGATATGCTCGAGGTCCAGACGGATCTGCTTCAGGAACCTGCAAAAAAAATGCGCTTTCATTATTCGCAATGTAAATATAATAGATGAATTGTCTAAATAGAATTATTTAATCTGTTATTCCCATGGAGGTTAGAATTTTTGGAGTAAGCATTTTGTCATAAAACTTAAGCCAAGAAATGTTAGCAATATGACGTCATGACTTATCATGGCAGCCATACAGCGTACAAGTAAGACTACGAAACATATTGTTAAATAAAATTACACTAAATTTGAAAGTCCTCTTGCTCAAAAATATCAAAGTCCGCTTGCTCAAAAATGTTTCTTTATGCATTATTTGCCTAAAATACTATTAAAACTTCCACTGATCTTCCACGTTTTACCGTGTATACATTTGTGTTACAGTTACAATTTACACATTTTTATGTACCTAGATTTTAATAAATCTGAAATGATTATTTGCAGTCCTCTTAGTTTTTCTATATACAAACTAGAAAATCTTTTACATTAAGTATGAAAATTAGAACAGGAGTCTTATAAAACATGTAAATGATGCCGATTAGAATGTAAACAAAACCAACCAGAAGTCCGCTTATGACAGCGACCATGATAAGTGGTGACGTCATATCATGATGTTCTACGTCTTCATTTTCGTTGCATTGGACATCCGGAGAAAACTTACTCCACCTATTCTAACTCCATGGTTATTCCCATTAAACTGTATGATAAATTATTCTTCGCCTTTTAGTGCACTAATTATCGTATCCATTTTAAATAAAAGCTTATGTTATAATAACGTTTTTTAATTGAATTTTATTTTAATTTGACTTTCATTTGCTTACTCTTATCCATCGGTCAGCCTTCGTATCATATGTTTCAACCAGATTCGTGGGCGAACCACCACTCCATCCACCGATCGTGAAAAGTATGGAATGAGGAATTCTGGGAATGGCGAGAAACGGTGTTTCCACTTCTTGCGTTTTCTGCTCAATCATTTCAAGATCCCAGATAAATCTAATAGTTTCAATCACAATTGGTTTGCATGACTCATTATTTTCGACAAACCTACGTAAATTAAATAGTTTTCAGTTTGTAATTAATGCTTTCGTATGCAAATAAGCATTTCGACAGTTAAAATCATTATTAATCGAATTTAATCACTAAAGCACAGCAATGAAATTCAAGAATAATAGGAAAGACTTATATTGCCCTTGTTTATTACAGTACTTCTTTCTATTTCGTTCTCATTCAATATAAATAAATACAGTATTGCTGGAACTAAACAATATTTTTAGTGACTTATTCATTATGTAGTCCAGAACTTTTCATTTTGGGTAGCATTGTTGCCTTATTAGAAAGGCTTGGAGTCCCATCATATCGTGCTTAATAATGTATATTTACTATGCTGCGTTTTTTAGGGATTGTACTACAAGAAAAACTCTTTACGATAGGATTGGACAAAAGCCGATAAGCGGGCCGAATGCGGCTCTTCCAATTGGTCAATCCGACCCCTTATGAAATCCTATGCAAAGACATATTCATTTCGTTCGTCCCGGATTTTGTATGCAAGCTACCGAAATCAGCAGCACAAACGCTCATATGTTTTTACAGTGTATATGCGCATATGCACTATAACAATGACTATACCAGTGACCAACTTAAGTTAGCAATGATTATACTAGTGACTAACCTAAGTGTTGGTCACTAGTATAGTAACTGTAACAATGACTATACTAGTGACCAACAACTAACAGTAACAATGACTATACTAGTGGCCAACCTAGGTTGAAAACATTAAATAATGCTAGTATAGTTTATAAGGATGGTTTATCGCTTTTAGACTCCATCAGAAGGTCAGTAACTTAAACTTCAGCTAACACTTAAAACCTTAACTTAAACTTCAGCTAACACTTAAAACCAACTTCATTTAACATTTGAGGAAAGTACATCTTGCAAGAGATTCAACATTTGACATCAACATATACGTACCGACGTCAACAACGAGTAGGCAATTAAAGTAAGAAGTAAGTACTGAGTGGTAAGTTTCGGCAAAAAATTCCAAGTTTTTACACTCGCGCTATTGCTAGCACATTTACATCTTGCGCAACAAAGATGAACCTTCCCACTAATTGCAATGAAGATTTTCGCGCCATAGAAGTATTTGGCCCATTTTTTTTTCAGTGTTTAGGCACTCTAGAGGGAATAATTCACTACACAGGAGATAAGTGGTGGTGGTGACTGGTGATGGAGGGCCAGGATACCTGATGTCTAAACATAGCTAAACAGGTGTATGTCCCACGCCCTCTTCAATCCAGAGCAACAGCTCCCAGGAACAACAAGAGAGCCGCCACGGGAGTTTAAATAGTATTTTAAGTACAATATCTATTGGTTTTGCTATCGGTTTTTACATTGGTTATAATGGCGTCAGTAGTACAGAGTGGCATCTCCACTATTCACATAGAATTATGCAATATAGCATATACACACATACACCATAAAACTATACATAATTTACAATATATGCAACATGGACTTACATTACATACATACACATAACACAGAACATAAAAGTAAACATATTAAAAAATAAATAAACAAAAAATAGTGCATATTGCTGCTTTGTCATAACGTCACTGTTATTCTATATTGTGATGCTGTTATTTCATGATTTAAAGCTTTTAACATTTAAAAAAGAAACATTCACATGATTTAAAGCTTTTAACATTTAAAAAAGAAACAAGTTCATTAGTCATGTTCAGCTGATGTAAGCATACATTGTCACTGCTGAGAATGTTCAAAAGAATAACATAAATTATGAAATTATGACTTACTATACTTTAATTTAGCTTGGCTGACATATGTCTTGCCTTATCGTTGTTATCATCTTGATACTTCTACAGATATCACTAACTGCCACACGATTTTTTATTATAAAATTTTTGTATGCTGTGTCGTACTTGGTTGGTAAGCGTAAATGATGTGAGTCTGTCACAGGACATAGGCAACACGTGACTGAAATTGTAATTGTACTATTTAAGTACTTGGGATCCATATCACAAGTGCAGCAAACAAAATAATTTTGAACACTACCCACGAAAGCGTTATAGATCACGCAAAGAGCAGCGGTAGTAATCTTCTACATACTTTGAAGAATTCCGATAAAATTTAAAATACAATGCATACTTAATTTTGGATTAAAAAAACTAGTTTAAAATTCTAAAAATATTAATAGTACATTTAAAGTTATAAATTAAAATATTTATACATTAAAAGCAAAATATATGTTCTTTCTTTTGATCATTATAGCTTGACTTACGGATGTAATTTCACCTTCTCCATAAAGTACTGGGTGTCTAGCAGCCCTAGACGGACGCAACGCATAACAGCATCCACATATTTCTTCCTCTCTTGGGGCATGTGTTTCACCCATTGGATACCAGCTTCCCAAACTATCTCCTCGTTGCGAACATTGATTCTGTCCGAATTCAGAAGAAGAACAAGCTCGTCGACCTGCATTTCAAGGAACTCTTCACTTTCTTGTACAACGTCCACGAAGTTGCTTAATATAAATCTTGGAGGCAATGAAAAGATTAAGCAAAAATTCAACTAAATATCGAAATGATGTAATATACATCACTGGTGCCAGGAAACTCAAAAAAGAAAAAAATAAATGAGATTTTTGAGTATTCACTTTTCAGTCAATACAATCTTTTCAATAGAGAATCCAAAATGGGTGTGAACCTTCAATATTTGATACTTGAGTAATTAAGTTCTAATTAATGAGATCTCTACATCATTTTTAACGAGCAATTTTAAAATACGCTTTCTTAAATTTATTTAAATTGTAAACTAAAAAAAAAGTGTTTAACAATGTATTTGAATTTTTTAAATTATCTCATATTTACTGCTTGGCAACTACCTTTTCTTTTTTTTTCTGCTTTAGTGGTAGTTAAAGTTTAATTACTGCACCCTTTATATATATATATATACATTGATTGACTGATCTAAAATTTACTTAGTTCGAAAACAAGTTTTTCTAATACTTGCGCAATAGTTGCAAAGTAAGATAATAATAATTTATTTACTAAAGAAATATTGATTGTATTATCTCCTAATGTAAATTTAGTAGAATGTATCAAAAAAAAGGGAACGCATGTGTAGGAAGTTTAATTCCGAAAATTGTGTTTTAAAGTAAGTTGAATGTAAATTGTGCAAAAAAAAAAAAAAAAAAAAAAAAGTTTTACGGGGACTTGAACTTAAATTACAAAATTTTAAATTTTGTAATTTAATAAATTAAAAAATTTAAATTTAAATAACAAAATTTCAAACTTTTAAAAAGAAATTAAAAATTAAAAAACAAGTAATTATCGCTTTGGATCGGAAATTAGTTGACTTTTCAAGGAGAACAAGCCAGCTCTCGCTCAATGAACAATAATTAATAAATGCGGAGGTGTTTCGTCTTTTACTCAAGTAAGAATGATGATGCCAAACTGGCAAATGAAGTTAGGCCAAAATTGTAGTTCCGTGAAGTGATGGGATTTATAACCAAAGTAGAGTACCAAAGAACTCATTCTGAATGAAGCATTTTCGCTAATATAAGATTTTTTATAAATTTTGAGATTTTTATAAATTTTTATAAATTTGAGTGAAAATCACTTTATGTAGTAAAATTTACAAAATACTTTAGTAAATATCTTCCGACACCTTCGCTTTTATGCATGTTAATTCAAGACTATTTTTATAAAAATAAACATAATAAACAGTAGTAATCTTAATTGGAATTATGAAATAGAACTTAAGCCGCAGTTGGTTTCATTTATGGTTATTAATGAAATAGCTAAGCTACACTTTTTGTTAGACCGATTAAATGAATCGACATGGTTTTATATTCTATTAAGACTACTTCGAATGGGCAAGCGAGAGCGAAAAGAAAAAAAAATGGAAAAGGGGTAAAAGAAACATTTTAAATTTAAAACTTTGAAAAGAAATAAGAGTTCCTATGCTGTTTAGTTTACTAGTAAGTCACCGATTCTCTAACTGTTCGAAAGGCGCGAAACTCGCTACGGTATATGAATCGCTTGGAATGAGAATGGAAGATTTAAAATTAGTCAATAAATCAAAATTTAAATTTACTCATAAATTCTGAGACTTGGCGATGGGATTAAGCGAAATTAAATAATAGATAAATAATATTAAATAAAGCTTACACGAAGATGGATCACTTATTTTATTGTTTTATTTTGCAACGTAACTCAAACTCTGGGCAGCAATGAGCAGTGAAATTTGTAGTGCTGACCATTACACCACGAAGCCATTCTAAGATGGCGGGAGAAATACCTTGCAGCGGTTCTCAACCTTTTGACTAACGCGTACCACCTAAACAAAAATTGAAAACCTTTAGTACCACCACTACAAAGTACTACTATGACCAGCAGTCTAGAACAAAGCTCAGACAGCATAAATTTACTAGTGCTAGAGAAAAATCTCAATCAGGTACTTGAGGTTTTAATTTTTGAATTTAATAGTTAAAAATACTTTGCTTCTCTGGGTACCACATTTATCTCTTGCGTACCGCCAGTGGTACGTGTACAACCGGTTGAGAACCCCTGCCTTATAAGTTAACAAAATAAATCAACTCATGAAATTAATAAAAACTTTACTCTGCAGAATGTTTCCGGTAAATAAAATTGTTAAACATACATTGATCAGTTGAGTGCGTACAAGCCTCACATATTTTGTTTCGCTTCCACGTTTCTAATATAAGATAAATTACGTTAGCAAAGTAATAGTAATTAATAAGTAACCAATTAAATTAAAACTGTTCTTCTTTTACCCGTCTTCTTGGGGCATTTTCTTTTGAGACAATCTTGTAAGTATGCCTAAAACTTGAACTAAACACATGAACAATGGTGTGTCTGAATGCAAATCTTGGTTTACTTCTAGTGTTGGTTTAACTCTAGCACACGGGATTTGGCGACTTTTGGCGTCATTACGATGAGCAATAAACGCGGTATTATAAAGAGCAATAAACGTGTCATTTTGGTGTTTGAGACAATGCTGATTCCAACAATTTTTTTCGTTTCTTGGCTCTTTTCATTAACTTTCCTAAAACTCAATGTGTTTACAAAACATTTACGCAAAAAAAACACCAAATCATTTGAAAGTTCAGAGTTATAGCGCGGGTTGTTTATCGAGTAGTAGCAACAGGCGTACTGACGCTCATGGGCTGTCGTAGCATTGTCTGGAAAGAGGCAAACAAGTGTAGTGCAGGCAGTCGCGACTCATCCAACTTGGGTCGGATACCAAACAAAACTCTTTAGATCCAAGCAGAGCGTATACGAAGTTGCATGTATTTCACGGGGCACCACTGTTTTTCAAAGTTTTTTGCTATCTATCAAGATGAACTTTAAATTTTTTTCATTTAAGAAGGGGGAATTATTACTTATGTCGTTTCTCTGAATGCACAAGGCTGAGATTAAAAATATTACAAAGATTAAGGTATTACGATTTAAAATTGTTGTCTTGATGACTATGAAAGCGAATAAATGTAATAAAATCTAAATGTGCATAAAAAATATATTTACCTCCTTTCCTCATGTGAGAAAATACCTAGACACGGCCGTGCTCTGCATAAATTATTTGCTGTTAACTGTAAATGTTTATTTAATAAAATATTTGGTGAGACATTTGCAGGAAGTTAAGAGTATTTATGAAATTTTGTTTGCGTTGTTTTGTTCATTGTATTAAAATTAAGAACCTATTCCCGAAATATATTTCCTTAATTTTTCTACTATAAATTTATTAAACTTTAGTTATTTAAGAACGTTACAGAAAAAATTACTTAGCAATCTATAAATGTATACTACTGTCAGATACATAAAATTATTTTCTCATAATGTGTTTTCTTGGGGGGTGATTTAATAGTGGTTAGTGTTTACTTGATCGATACAGTGGTTAACGTTGCTGGCTGCCATATCACTGGGAGCGGGTTAAAATATCGGAGATTTGGATGTATGGAAGTGTGGAGTGCCTCTGCAGCGTCAAGGCACTTGTGATCCAAAAGTAATACACAGTGATACACAGTGATCCAAAAGTCTTTTGGATTAACAATGGCAGGGGAAGACGTATAAAGACTCGTGGACCCATTTCCCTGGGACCATCCTTCAAATATCAGCCGGAATTTAGAAACGTCGTACTTTCACTAGAGTTGGATGATCCGATTCGGAACTGATTCAAAGAACTGATTCGCTTTACTGAGTGAGTTTACTCTGGTTTCAGAAAAAGGAGTTGTAGTTATTTTGCAGTTTACGGGGAGATTCTGTTGGAAACAAGCCAGCAAAAGAAATCTGCAATTCGTTCACGAAGTGATTCACTTTACTTAGCGAGTTTATCTTGATTGGCGAAAAAAAAATGAGATCTCTTTTTGGAAGCATGCCAGGTAAGTTCGATTTCCATTTTAAGAGAGAAGAGAATTTTATTCTCCCATGTTAAAAATGGGTTTAATTTTTATCATGTCCCACCTTTTTAAAAAAAATTGTTCTAGAATTTTATTATTAGTTCTGTGCAGAACGGAGGTTTTAGAAACTCTCAAAATTATAGTTGAAAGAAATAAGTTCAGGGAACGTTTGAATGCGTCAATTCTTACTATTCCACGGCCTGTTCGTTTATTTTCACTCTCTCCTTCAACCTGGCTAACCGCTCTCGATCCGAAAGCTTGTTCGATTTTTTCGCTCCATCCTCACTAACTTGCTTTTGATTACTCCTTCGTTCCGAATCTTTTTGGTCAAGGTGGAGAGGTAAATGATAAAAGGGAACTGATTCTTTTCAGTGAGCGAACAGTTTTAACCCGATCCTATAAAAGTGGTGCCTATCTCTAACTGTGACCTTATAAGGTACCCGAGGTCCCTGATAGTGGCAAATCCAATCTTGCTCTCTTCTCCCCAACAAAATTCGAGGATTGATCTGATGTTAATATCCGACCACTAAGAACAAGTCGCAACACAACATTAATATATATAATGAACTTTTAAAAACTTACCTGTTTGCAGCGTCTTCAAGTTCAAAGCAAAAGAATGTCTGAGCGAAATTTCTGATGCCAATGCAGTTCTCGTAATTCATTTTGTACAAAAGAAATCTCGTGCAGTCATCAATTATACCAAGCACATTGAACTGGTCGGCAGCTGGAAGAAATTTGTTGATATTGTCATCGGTTACTTCAGTTCTACCACTATAGGCGTATGTGATGATGAGTTGCAACATGGATGCAGTGATACCGGGAATTGTATATCTCGTACGTTTTCTTTTGTCGATTTTAGTGGTAAAAAGCACTTTGAAATAAAGACTGCAAGCTGACATGATGCTCCTTGGAGACAAAATAAAACAACGGATAAGAATTAAATTAAACTGATTATACTGATTCAATTAAAATGATTTTAAGTTGCATAAACAGATAATCATTCATTATGAAACTCATACTCGTGCAAGTGTAATTTCCTTATCTACAGATATTAGACCTAAATTAGTACAATCGCAAAACAAACTCGAAGATTACAATAAAAGAAAATTCTCAAAGTTTCTACAAATTCTGTGATATGCATGGATATTAATTACCGTTACCGCATGGATATTGCAAACTGTTTATTAAGGGAATCTACCTTTTCCATTGTATCTTCAAAAATAGCATTCATTTAAAATGAAACAGCATTCCATTAGAAAAACATTCTTCAGCGTGAACACCATTTGATACCGAATCAAGTCCAATTAACATAGATTAATAATGTAAATTGCAGCATCATGAACAAACTATTTTTTCTGTAGCTAGAGCCGGGTTAAGGGTGAGGCACTTGCAATCAAGTGAATGGCTAAGAGAGACGCCAAACTAGCAGCAAAATTTAGGAAATGCATTTAGAAAGTAAATTGTGATTGTTAACTTTCAGTTTTGAAATATATCGAGAAGAACCCTTTTGAAATAGTATATTTAAAGCAATAAAATTCGAGCTACATTCTTCAGCACGCACGTACTTAGGTGCGTTTCCTTAATCAGTTAAGGGGGCTCATACACCTTAAACCCCTTATGATCTTCGAATTATGGGACTGTAGCAAGAATTGGGATATTTTATTTATTTTAAAAGCAATTACTTCCAATTTTTACAGATGACTATATAATATAGCTGCTTTGGAAATTAGTAATCAGAAAGTTTATGTTGCCACAAATATTTTTGTAATTTAATCCACTTTGTGACAAAAATTTTCGTCACGTTTTCACCTTGCGCCCATGATATTTTACTCGTAAAAATGGCTAATGGTGCATACTTGAAATTTGATGGAATTCTTTATATCGACACTATTTTCTAACTGAACCCCAAATGTGATTAATATTATAATATTAAAAAATTTTATGCACAGAAACATTACAGAATATTTTAATAAAATAAATTTTATAAACTCAACTCCAAATAAAGTAAAAATTTAACACGAAATTCTTAGAATTTTTTGGTTCACAGTAGTTTCCAAATGTTATAAAAGATATTAAATATGGAATTAAATTATGCAACAGAATGTTTTAAGCTGTGAGCGCAAGGTGGAAACATGACAAAAAATGTTGTCACAAAGTGGATTAAATTATAAAAATATTTGTGGCAACACAAACTTTCTGATTACTATTTCAGAAAGCAGCTATATTATGTACACAGCTGTAAAAAGTTGGTAGTAATTGCTTTTAAAATAAATAAGTTATCCCAATTCTTGCAACAGTCACCTATTCGAACATCTTATGGGTTTTAAGGTGTATGAGTCTCCTTAATTCTCTTGACCCTTGATCGAGTGTTAATACTCCTAATTACATCTTTCATCAACAATTGAACATCTGTGGTTTCTCTAAGAAATGTACCATCTAATTGTCATCAAATGAGGCAGGTGTACTTCAAGGTTCAATTCTTGGACCTATTTTATATTTATGGACTTTCCTTGTATTTATGGATAAATCTTAATTCTTGAACTTATCTTATATTTTTATGGAAAAACAGTCAATGTTCTTTCATCTGATTTAAATAATGTAAAAACCCATATATTTCATAAAATAGTTTTGTTATATTTAATATTTTTTCTTAATTTGTTAACAGAGAAGAAAATTTGAAGGCAGTTTTAACTTGGTATTCACTTAATTATACATACTAACATAAAAAGAACTCATTTCTCGTTTTAGGAAATAGTAACTTAATAAATTAAACGCAAAATTATATCATCTGAAAGCATTCAAATTCATCATTATTTTGTTAACAATTATTACAGGTAGCTTTCGTGTGCTATTCCAATATTTAACATTCTGTTTCAATCTAACTGTTAATTTTTATTAGCATTATCACCATTTCGCTTCGTTTCAGAGCATAAATATCAGGAATGCCTAAAGCTATATTTTATTTTTGATTAAGTATGTGTCATTATACGGAAACTCTTAAATACTGACGCTGAGTTTTCTATATCGCTGTCTTGCAAATTAGATGAAATAATTCGTTAAGTAATCAAGGAATGTACTAAAACTTTAAGTAAACACAGAGCCTAATGAAAATAATATCACTTTTCTTTAGTGCACTGGTCCTAAAACTCTGTTACGTGGGACCTCTGGCTTCTGCAAGTCAATTCAAAATTCGAAAGTTAAAATAAAAACTCGTTCCTCGCGTCAAAATGAAAATTCGAAAAAAAAATTACAAAGCACTCACACTAGTTGACTAGTATTTATTAACTAAAAAATATAAAAATACATTTAGTTACAGATTTGTTTTACAACTTAACATGTGGGCATCATATGTCAAAGAGAATGACGTGCAATGCTCTGCAAAACTAAAGAATTTGCTAATGGAGAATGAAGTGAATTTAGAAGGCAGTGTTAAAAATTGTACAATCTATTACAATTGAAGAAACCGCAAAAGTATATTTGCTAGCAAAAACTAAGTATAGCTGAATAAAATATTCTTCCGAGTACTATAATAAAATAACAACTTAAGGGCATATCAACAGATTTAACGTTAAAATCCAAATTTAAGGAAAAGCAACTCCTAAATTTTTAGATTTTAGATTTTAGATTCATGTAGAATACCTAGAAGTTTCTCACATAGTTATAACATTTTGATGCCATTCGAAGCAACGTATCTTAAGTAAAAAATCTTTCTCAACGTATGTGGTAACAAAAATAAATACAGAAACAATTTAAATGCAGAATATTAAATGCAAAATATTAAATGAGACTGTAGATAATATCAATACAGCTTGATTTCAATAGTATGTGTTAAAACATGCAAACACACCGCTGCTACACAATGCTTTTCTTTAATTATCTTTACATAAAGTACCCCTAACATATTGATGTACTTTAAATATTAATTTATGATCTATTTTTCTAGTGGTAGTGTGCGGTTCTTTGAAAAACATCCTGTAGTTCCAAGGATTGTGTGAAACAACAAAGTTTGAAAACCACTGTTTTAACGTATTAATTTCCTCAATTTTTTTCAGTTTAATGTGTTTTCAGTTCGAAAACTTATCCCATCATATTTATTTCACTTTTGCTGCACAACACAAAGAATATAAAAATCTAAATGCTCAAGACGAATGTAGGTAGATTTTTTAGGTATTTAAGCATTCATATTTTATTTCATATTACAGGGCTATAATATTTGATGGCAACAATTTGAAAAGTGAAATGAACATTTCACTTATTTAACCGACGCAAAATGCAGTTTTGAAATTAATATCCCCTTCTGGGCTAACGTCCTTTTGGGCTAATAACTAGTTGTTAATGACTAAATATTTGAAACTGAGGCAGAAAAGCCATGCATTTCATATAATTTTCAGCTCATTATAACTATTCTATATAAAGTTCAAACTTTTATAAGGCACACAGCAATGGGTTGATACTAATGACCTGTTTAAGCAAATCAATTTAAAATTTTATTCAGTACGTCTTTGCGCAGTTAGTAGCCCAAGAATAAAATGTAAATAAAGCCTTGCAATAAAAAAATTTTAGAAATATAAAAATTACACGATTTTCGGAGAGATTATTTAATGTCTAATTCCGACGAATATATCAGCTGCACGAATAATTTCCTTGTTTCCCTTCATGTGTAACCTAAATATGAGCTAGTTTCTATTAGAGTCCACCCCAAAGGTATCCCTCTCTTTAGACAGAATGTCCTCGTATGCTTATTGCCTCGTACTGAATTAAACAAACAAACGTAACAGAAGGAATACCTCTTTCTTTAACAGAAATGAAAGAAAAATTTTTTGAGAAATAAAAATTTATCTTTAAAGGTATTATATTAATAAATATGAAGAGAAGTGAAAAGCAAAAGGATAATAAATCAGATTGTCAATAATCAATTGATGGTAGAACTAGTTTTCTCAGGAAATATTTTTCCGTAGTAGAAATGCATGAATGAGAGGTATTTTGATCTCATAACTGTAACAGAGGTATCAAAACTTACACGCGATAACTTCCGATTTCCTATTTCTGACTAATGAAAAATTAATTTCATTGGATTAAAGTATTTTGCTAATGAGCAGGCTAGCATTTTTCTACCATTCCTTCAGAAATATCTAGTTTTGAAAACAGAGCTATTTCAACAATTCTGGTACCTAAGCAAAACCAGGCCTTTTAAAATAATTCAAGAATGTAGTTTATCTCAATAATATCAAATTCGGAATCTGTGTTAAGAATATTTTTAACGCTGCCGGTTATCAAAGTCAGAGTAAAAGAAACTTAGAAAAACGTAAAATAATATAAATAAATAAATAAATAATGGTGGCAACTTTCTTTTAGTCCAAAAAATCCTTCAAACATTACTGCATACAACATATTTTGAAAACAATTATTGTGCATTTTATTTCATTAAAAACAAGAAATATTTAAATTACAAAAGGAGCTTGATTATTAATTAAACAGTTTTATATAAATTGTAGCACTATTTCTATTATTTCACTGTTATGTGCTATCTATGAAAAAGATATTTTTAATGCAAATTTTAAAATAGTAAATTATTATATGTATAAAATTTCTGAATACATAAAGTTCTGAGTAAACAAATATTCTAGGAGTTATGGTATGATTTTGTATAGTTACTTTAGTTGAGCACACATGTGTACAGATACAGTTAATTAGTAACTTTGATTATGTACAGAGGCAAAAATTTATCTCTTTGTCTCAGGTGAAAAAATATCAAGGCACGGCTCTGATTGCTGCTCTACTTAATGAAAATAACTACTCCGAGCTATCGTACTTCCAGGTAAATGGAAAACAAAGTAGATTGAGGAAGGGGAACACATGCCTCAAATAAAAAATTAAAAGGTAAAACACAAAACCAAAACGTGTGT